AGTACAGGGCATGCAGATTAAGCTCATCTAAATTTGTGGTTAGTTCTGGGTGCATGTTCTATGTGCGTCGATCACCGACTCATTTGCTCTTGTCATCCATATATAAAGTCACACACCCCAAGGCTCGATAGACAATAAAACCAGGTGAATACATATGAAACTGAAAAGCACAAGGGGTTTGAGAATTTTGCAACTCTTATTGTTAGGATTTCACTTGGGTTTGATTGCTTCCACGTGGAAAGAGATTCAGTGATTGCATCAACCTGGAACGCAACTAGTACATAAATTTTCTTAAAAGAAAACAGTAAGGTAGCAGGCATGTAGCCATATATACCATCACTGGTCCAATGAATTTTCTTTTCTCTGCTCAATTGGAAAGGCTAATGAGTTCCGGCAATTATTGTTGCATGTAGTTTCGTGTTCAAAAAACTCTCAGTCTAGTAGCTCTCTCATTTATTGCAACAAATGCATCTGCCTGCCCTCTTATCCAGGTAATCTTGCTGAGAAGCAATAATTAAAATAGCACGCTTGCATTGATCAAAATCAGGATCGAGACTACTCAAAACCTGCTTCTGAAACGAACTGTACAAGTGGGAAAACGCCTCGGTTTTATTGCATTCTCCCCACGTATGACGCGACGTCACGGTTAGATTGTAATCAAGTTGCTCGAATCAAAATACTACTTGTATCACTAGAACAAAAGTGCCCGGTCTCGTATGTTATATTGATCCACGCACGTACACCCGATTTGTGACGTAAAAGGGACTTATCATAGCAAGATGAAGTCATTAAACATTTTAGTGTGTGATAATGGCTTGAGCTAATGCTTTGACATTTTTGCTACAGTTCTTTTGAGATAATGATAATGGTTTAGAACTTTTTTTTTTTTTGATAAAAGACCATTTTATTCAATAAATTTGCACTAATGGTAAAAATATATCAAATCAAACGCGATACAGATATATACAGACCTGAAATCAATACTGAATACAAGACAAAAATAAAGCTAAACTCTTAACACATTTTTCAATCAAATGAATCATTGCAATTCCATAGACCTGTGCATGTCTTCCAACAATCAGACATAATTAAAAGCAGGGCCAAGCCAAAAGAGAAATTTAGATCTAATACTAATGAACAGAGAAATTGTAGATTTGAAAAACTAGATGTATAAAATTTCAAATTTCATACAAAGATATAAAAACTAAACAAAACTTTCATGAAGAAAAACGCTCAGAACTCTCACTAGAACACTCTAGAGAGAGAAGAAACTCTCATAGGGAGATTCTAGAAAGGAAGAGTCTCTCATTAGAAAATCCTATGAAAGAATTTACTCCTATAAGTAAAAATCATATTTGTCTAGTCTCTCTCCCATGAGAGAGAGAGAGAGAGAGAGTTAGAAGAGAGGAGCTTTTGACTGAAGGAGTTCTAAAGAGGAGGAGGAGAAAATAAGGTTTAAAAGATCTAAAGAGAAGGGCTTTGTCATTTATGCGAGAAATTTAGGATATGCAATGACAAAGATAGATTAAGGTCGATTGCATCTAGGTTTAGTTAACTCGATCCTATATATGTAGCTCCTATATAGTTCCAGGTTCAGCAGCTGACCTTCCATACACATGGTGAGTTTATCCAGCAATTCATCTGTTCTTCTTCGCCATGACTACTACATATGGATATGGTGTCTCGTCTGGTATCTTTTTACGCCAGAGAATTTTGAGTTCTGGTCATATTCACGTTACAACAAACAATGCCTAAGCATATATTCATGTCATTAGATCCGAATCCGATACGACTATTATGCATTTATTTCTTAAATCATAACGGGGATTATTTCTCGAGAAACCAAATACTAATAGGTATCTAAATTTTGGACATACTGTTAATGGAGTGGTTGCATTGCACGACCGAAAATTAAATAGTACTTCATTTACCCAATAAAATTAAAATTTGTTTTATTACGAAAACTGAGGGACTTGAACCAATGTTATTAAATTCGGACCGGATAACGACTCGGCTAACCTATTGGATCAAAGGTTAATTTGACAGATTGGTCGGATCATTCTTAAAAATTCACTGACATCAATATGATATCATAATTACTTTATATTTTTATAAGTTTCAGAAATATTGAAATTAAGTTTTTGGTTATATTCTGCTAATCATAGAAAATGTTCCAAAAATATTAGACTTGCAATCATATATACACCTAATAATTATATATAAAAATGTAAATTTATGACTACTACTTGAAAAACTAAATTAAAATAAATTAATACAAGTTGAAATCACTGATACTAAATTGATAAGGTCATAAGGATGAAAACATCTTGATTTAGAGATCATTCAGAAAAGTGACTGATTTTGGTACGTATTTACACTAAGTTGGTGGTGTTTTCTTATTCCTATTAATATATGAATGTGTTACATTTTAGGTAACTCAAATTATGTTTGGGGAAAAGAAGAAAGAAAAGTTTGAGAATCGGGTCAATCAGTCGAAATCGGGTCACTGGTTTAGCCAATTTTGAATGGTTCTGACTGATTTTTTATCAAAATGATTTTGTGTTACAAATCAGCTCGAGATGAAGGCTAGTTCACGGTTAAACTGCTCGAACTGGTAGATTCGGTCCGGGTCTAACAACATGACTTGAACCGGAGGACCATACTAGCCACTTCTTTCTCTACAAGAAATCCAAAATAGCAAGTAATTTTGTTGATTTGGCAGGCGATATTAGAGATTCTTAGGCATTCTTTTACTTCACACCTATCTTTTTATTACCACGTGCTAAGATAAACTTAGTACTTATAACTTTGACGACATCAACCATTTTTGACAAAAAGTAAATCAAGGAGCATCCAATTTTTTTCCTTTCTCTTATTTTCGTTATAACCTCACATTATCTTCTTGGATGACAAATAACATTATTTTATGCGGTTTAGAAAATGAAATATTTGAAAATTAATCTACAATCATGTGCAATAGGACAACATGAAGGCCATTTGTGTAGCACAACTCAACTACAGGAGTAGATTTTTGCAAAAAGATATGTAATACTTATATAAACCTACTAATAAAGTATGGATTTTTTTTTAACGGGCAATATTTTATATTTTAATTTTTTAAAATGATCAATATGTTCCTCACTTTTTCCCTTGATGATTCAAACTTTGACCTTTCGATTTTAAGTAAAACATCTTACAATCTAGATCGGGTTTCATGATTCTACTTACTATTTTATATATACAAATTCATGTAATGGATAATCGAGGGTATTGGTGACTTATTAAGTATGGATTTTTTTAACAGAGAATCTAGAGTACCTGCTGATACTTAATAGGAATAATTTCACAAACCTTCCTTGAGGTTTTTGACAATTTCACTCGGCTCCCCTCAGGTTTTATAAATTACACTGACCTCCCTTGTCACAATAAAATGACTATAATGACATTCAATTAATAAATAATTCACAGTACAATGAAATGAGATTAAAAAAAGAAAAGAAACCTAACTTTTTCGTTTATCTTGTTTACAAATTGCGACCAACGTCCATTTGCTCTCACTTACCGTCACTTCGTTCTCATCCATCAACCCCTTTCTCCTACAATTCACTCTCAAATTATCACTAACTATTGCTTATAATTGCAGTCAATCACACCACAAGTGATCCGTTAAACTCTACTATATATTCCTATTTCTCCTTTTTTCTCTTTGGAATTGTCAAATCATAAGTTTAGTTGAGCGATTAGATTTGATGGTTGAAGTAAAATTTAATTACATAGTCAATCTAAAAAGGAAATGAAGAGTCACACAATAATAATGGAACAAATAATGCAATCATTGGCCAAAAGACGAAGAGGGGCTAAAATTAGTAAATTTGATAATTTGTTTATCATTTATCCAAAAAATTTTTTAAGATGTTAATAAGTACATTTATATTTCTTTTTATGCTTGACAATTGTTGGTTATGGTTTTGCTATGGAGATAGAGTTGCTTCTCTATATTTAACATGATAACATATTTGGAGATTTAATGGTAGGTTAGATTATTTTGTTTTGAAAAGGTGTAGGCATTGGGTTTGAAGTTTGGGGTGTGATTAGTTGTAAATAGAATTTTGATTTTTGGCAAAATGAATTTCTTGAAGATCTCTATAGTCATAATGATGATGTCTTTCCTTCTCTTAAATTTGATTAATCTCATCCATGCCTAAATCTCGCCTGAGGATTTTCTTCAAGGCCATAATGTGGCTCATTTAATAGGAGTTAAACCACTTATATGGAATCAAATCATGGCGTTCTGTGTTGGAGATTATGCAACCATAAGGACAGTTGATTGTGAATTTGACTATTCCATGGAACCATATAGTGAGAATATTTTTGAAGAATGGAACGAATCTTCAAGATTGAATGCATGCTTTGGGAGAAACAATTTTATGACTATGATAATAGAACGAATGCATGCTATGATAATAGATTGAATGCATGCTTCGGAACGAATCTTCAAGATTGAATGCATGCTTTGGTTGCTTGGGTTTAGAATTTCAAATTAGACTATTTATTAGGTTAGTTTGTTAATATAGTGAGTTTGGTTAAAATATGGAAGAAAGCAATTGGCAAAATAAATTTTGTTTTATTTTTGTACAAAAAGGGTAGTTTAGGATATTGTTATATAACAGTAAAAGTAAGGGAGGTAGATATAATTTAATAAACTTGAGGGGAGATCTCTGCAATTGTGAGAAACCTCTGATCTAATATACACAACTTACTATTTTATATATACAACTTTACATACTTTTTTTTTTTTTTGTTTATTCGTACGTTTAGTCACTTTTCTGATCTAATTTTGATTAAGGAAAAACTCTTAAGCCTCAATTAAGTAGTACCAGCAACCTTAAGTAAAAAATTTTTAAAAAAATTGAAAAGATTAGTCTTACGGCAAAAGTAAAAATGGGCAAGTTGGCATGAGGAAGAAAGAAATCATTGCAGCCTTTCACGTACTTGTTTAGAATCTTGTTAGATCTGTTCCAAAAGAAGAGTGGGACACAAAAAAAAAGGGGGTACAAGTAGGGGAATTAAAGCTGCAAAAGTGGTCACCATTTCCATTCGAAGACTCGTAGTCTAGTACCAGTACAAATTTCCTTGTAGGAACATATTATTGAAGACTATAGCAGCTTCATTCCTTTCGGACCGCTGTAGCAGAAATAGAGAGTGAGAGCCAGAGAGCAAAATTATTTATTGATTAGTACAAAGAGTAAGAGATCAACCAGAGAGAGAGAGAGAGAGAGAGATGGAGATCAATAAAAGAATGTGCAATGGCCTCGTCGTTGTCGTCCTAATTGCTGTTATTTTCACCGTCTTTATGCCTGCTGCTGCTGAGGGTCATGTTCATCATAGCTTCCCTCCAGCCCCGGCTCCTGCTCCCACCAGTGACGGTAAAATTTTCTTTTACTGTCATTTGTGTACCATTTTGTTTGGCTTGTTCAATAGTGCGGATTTTATTTTGTTTTCTTTTTCTTGTTCTGGATCTTAGAAAAATGTGGGATTGCTGTTCATGGTTGGCCGGGAAATTCTTTGATGGCCATGGGTTTATGGTGAAAATGGCATTACCTTGTTTCCTTTGGAGGAGGGATCTGGGAGATCTTCTCTTCTTCTTGTGCGTAGAGTGCCTATAGTTTTGTTGCAGCAGCTATTTGCTAAACATGACAATAATGTCATCTTTTGGAGTTTTGAGATTGACAAACTGTAATTGATATTTTCAACTGACCTTTTGACTAATTTTTACTGTAAAATACTTAAATCACTATGAGTTTTGGTTGACTGAAGTGATACAATGAAAAGCAATCGCCGGGCAGTTTACTTGATTATTGAGTAATCAAGTTATGCACCGACCGAGTTTCAAGACAATAATTAGTTAATTGATTTCCAAAAAAAAAAAAAAAAAAAAAAAAAGGAGCATATGATACATTGCAGAAGTCATCCTCTGAAACAAAATCAACTATACAATTTACTTGCCCTGACTTTTAATGACAATGACGACACAGGATCTTTTCGCATTTTTATTTTTTCTGGTTCCTATTTACTTCATGGATATTTGCTACGTAGAAGATGTAAATCCGTGGTTTAAGACACAATTCCTAGCATGATACAGTTATTCCTACCTAAATCGTTACTTTTTCAGGCTTGCCTGCTAGTAAAGCATATCACTGAAAGCTTCCTAAAAGTTTTGATTTTGTATTCATATTTCAGGGACAACTATTGACCAGGGGATTGCTTACGTCTTGATGTTGTTGGCTCTGGTGCTTACATATCTCATCCACACCCTGGAAGTTCCCCTCAACTTCCAGGTTATTTGATTATAAATCCATCCGACTATTGCCCAGGAGAGAGTTATAGGCTAAGAGTGAATTGAAATGCACAAGTAAATTGTTAGAAAGACTTTCACGAATGCTTATGTAATGTCGTCCTGGGACATACATTAAGCATCTTACTATGGGATTCTTTCGAGTAATTGTTGCATTAAACTGCTATTTACTAGAACAGGTTTTGGTTCATCTTTCCCAACTTGCTTCCTATTTGACTGGATCCAATTCTATGTGCTCATCTCCAAACTATATTTCTGTATTTCTTCGTCAAAGGTGAATTATCAAGATCTTTTAATCAACCTAAGAGAAGAGGTTGTATACTGAGGCTTTCTGCTGCAATCCTATGCAAGTATGGGTAGTGTATCCTTTGTCATCGCAGTCTGAGATTGCAAGAGCTCAGTGGAGGCTCAAAATGGATTAGATTAGTGTCATATGCAATGAGCTTAAACAGGGGCCGCAGCTTTGCTCCCCCATTGTCACCTGATCTACCGCGCTCTGAGCAATTCTGTGCTATATGCTTGCCATCATGAAAGAGGAGGCAGGGACATTACTTCGGAGGCTAGCCTCGGAGAATTCCGATGAAACAAAACTAAGCTGCATAAGCAATATTCTGAGGTAACCTGATCCTCTTTACACCAGCTACACAAGTTTGTTTGGATAGAGGAATTATTTGTTAAAATTTATTTGCTTACATCATTATTACAATTTCCAACACACCTTTTTATCTTTCCAATTACCTTTTTATCTAACATACATCACATCACAAAAAGTGCTGCAGTAAAAATATCTCAAATAATTTATAATCCAAACAGAGCAACGTTGCACAGAATTCATAAATTTGTTGCAGAGTAAGGTTGTGTTTGGATTGCATTTTCCGTCATTTTTCATGAAAAAATTACTGTAGCGATTTGATATATGTGAGGGAAAAAGGTGATAGGGAAATGTGATCACGGAAAACGATAATATTTTCCGACGAAAACCTTCAATCCAAGCAAGGCCTAAGTGTTCAAAGAATCTGTTGGGTATCGCCAGTTTGGTAACTTGACTTTCTGGCAAGTACACCACCATTAGTTTGATGGCTAGAATAGACCTTCATTTCCAGTAAATTTGAAGCACCAACCCTATTGTCAACTATACTACGTATCCTACTGTGTTCAAGGATAACAATTATTTTTAAACGAAGAATTGTGATTGTGCAATTTCAACTTTCTGGAGCGTTCCAAAGGTTCTTATCAAATGCTTTGAATGATCATAGAGACAACATCAACTTGTAAATCGAAGGTGCAGAAGAACAAGTCCTACCTGGCCTTCAAAAGGAGCTCTTTAAATTGAAAATGACATGAAAGGAAGAGTTTCTGATGTTTCAGTATGAAATACAGGATAAGATCATCATTAAGCAGAAAACCTTGGCCCTCTTGATTATGCAATGTGCAATCATCTTTCATTGTCTAGCCTCAATCACTGTTAGCTGAAAAAATGGTGCAACAACCTGGTCAAGTTTAATACAAGTCTAGCAATCACAAGTGATTAATGTTTCTTCTCGCTACTCGCATCAACACTTCCTTGGTTTTCTTCGGCCAATGAGAATTTCTTCACTCTCTGGCAAGAAAAATAGGGTATGAGTATGGCCCATAACAAATCCAAGCAATACTGCACATTATGTATGAAATAGAGCAAACTCTCAGTCTTAGATAACAGTAGTGTTTATTAGCATCCCAAAATCAGTGGAAACCTTTTTTTTTTTTTTTTTTTTCAGATACAACAGCGGAAAAGATTTTGGGAAAACCACACTAACCTAGCAAGACATAATGAATCAGAGAAATACCAAAAAGATACTATCTCCTCAACATTCTCTATTCCAACTGAGTTATTGATTACTTCAGAGGTATCATGCCAATAACTAAGAGAAGCAAGCAAGACAGGAGGAAAGATAATGCTAAAATTCGTTGAATTCAATACAAAACCGCTTTACTTAACATGGGAGAAGCTACAAATTCAAGTATCAAGTATCTGTTATGCTACATGCAAAGCAAGGAGGCAAAACTGTCAGCTATTATTACATGAAGAAGAAATAGTTGGAACGAGCTTTAACACATAACCAACAACTTGAGGACAATTTGATGCAAGAACTTCGAAGTTTTTACACAATCACAAAGGACTGTTTTACTGACTGTAGTCAATTATATCCACTACAACAAACAAGACGCGTCTCTCCTCATCACCTTACAATTGGTCATCAAGATATTTCCTCCTCTACTAGCAAAACAATCGATGTACTCCTACAGCATAATGCTAAATAAGGACCATTCACTGTAAATTAGGAAAGAAAAGAAAGTGAGGCAACAAGTCAGCGAGTCGTTGTATTCCTCACTAGAAGTTCTAATGATTGTTCTACTCTATTTCCATTCCAAATTGGGTTATCAACACTCTTTTTAGATTTTTACAGCTCTGATCAGCTCATGAACACATTTCCCTTGGCATCGCAATGACTGAACCAACATTGCCTGAACAAAGGGAATCATGGTTGCATGATTCTATAAATGGACTTTGATGGATATTGAAATCGTCCATAGTCTCACGCAATTGGGTCGGATAAGGTACTTCAACATGAAGATACCGTCAAAGGTCCTTCATTTATTATTTCGATGCAGCAATAATTGGTAAAAAGGAAAATGATCAAACACAAGCAACTTTCAAGCCTTTAATCTCCAACCCTTATCATTACCTTTCCTCATCTATTTCAATTTTAATTAATCATAATCGTAATCATTAACGCAAACCAGTTGATTTCCCAATCCGCTTCAGCAACTTAATTTGTCAATTTAACAAGCACAATATGTACAACCAAATCCAGTACTCCGCAAAACAAGTAGGAGTATCAAATCATACATCATAGTAAAACATAAACAGACAAACAGATAATGAGCACCTTGTCGACGACGCATTGGCGCAACGACTGAAGGAGACGGAGGCACTTCTCTTGATCGTAAGGGGTTTCGGTGACGCAGTTGAGCAAATTCAGTGCCTCCTGCCCGCATATTGCTTGGCCTTTCCGAGCTGAATCCATCTTCCCCTGTTTCTTCTGATTTTGGGGGTTCTAGAGAAAGCAGGAGGGTTTTAGAGAAGGGGCTGTTTGGTCGTTTTCCTGGCTCTGGGAAATTGAAAGAGAACCAGAGTCCAGACAGCGGCCCCCGCGCACACTGTTTTAAGTTTTACCCGACATATAAATTTCTTCCTCCTCAAGAATGTTATGCAAGAATTGTTCAGACGGCCACCACCACCAAAAAAAAAATAATAATAAAAATCTGTTTGGAAGTAATTATTAAATTTGAAAACAAGGGGAAAAAAAAAGTCTAATCATCGCGTTATTTTATTTCTTACTCAAATCCGATGCCTCTCTTGTTCAGTTCGATTGATGTAATTCTTATAATATTTTAGTGTAAATTTGTACAACTATGATGTATTCATGAAAATTGTTTACTTATCTTAAATATATAAAAGGGGGAACGCCCATTTGCTACAGTACAATCATGGGTCGGTTTCGATGGTAGTTCTGCTGATTTCGTGGGGTGTCTTGGTTTTTCCATCAACAAAATCCTCCCAATCACACAAACACCATGAGCGGGTTTCGATGGTAATTCTGCTGATTTCGAGGGGTGTCTTGGTCTTTCCATCAACAAAATCCACCCAATCACACAACAAAATCCATCACCCCCAACACAGGCTGGCGCAGGGCCCAAAAACTAGTATAATTAAATAATGTAAACTTTACAATTACACTAAAATTGTGTAAATTTATATCAAATATTATTTTAAGAATGATAACAAGTGCACGGAATTGGACAAAACTCAACTGGTGGGGTTGCATTTCCTTCTTAAAAGTGGTGGGTTAGACTGCATACCGTCCGAATGTACATATATTGGCACGTGTGATTTTGCGCATATATATATTTGGTTGCCTGTCATGATATCCAGAGTTTTGCCTTGACTAATCCGTTGCGCATATATAGAATATCCTTTTGTAGGAGAAAGGATAGATCATCTTTTGGAGGAGAAAGGACATCAAAAGACATACAAAAAGATGCTCCTTTTTATTTCTTAAGTGACTAAACAATAGCAAATTTTTTGTCAATGGTCTTTGCACATAATACCACCCATCTAATTTTAAAACAATTCAATTTCCATGTAGCTAGGTTTAGTTTTGTGGATAGGGATATAAACTAGTCTAATCAAGTTGAATATTCTAATATTTAAGCTTGTTTGATTATTTTAATAAGTTTGAAATTTTATTCAAGTTTGATTTTTTTTTTGTTTTGCAGAATCGAATTCGAATGAGCTTTCATCAAGTCGAGCTCAAGTAGTTTGAATTTTTTACATATCAAATCCAATTTTATAGGAATAGAATTAAACTCGAGTTAAGTTTAAAAGTTTATTGACTATAAAATGTTGTTCAAGTTTGATTTAACTAACTGATGAACCAAACTCGAATGATATTTTATTGAATCGAGTTCAATTCGAATATCGAATAGTTTAGTTTATGTTTTGGCCCCTTTTTTGAACCATTGACCCTGGGTTCAACGTGGATTTGCAAAATTTTGGATCGAGAGTTTAACTTCTCCTATGGCATGCGTACACTAGTGGCTCAAGATTCTAGCAACACGAGGATAATTGTAATCGTTGCCCCGAAAGGGGTAAGGCCTATAATCTACTTTAGCTGCAGTTCCTTGATCACGGGCTTCAGTAGAAGACTTGGATACAGAAAGCCAAAACGGCCCAAACATCAAAAGGATTCCCCGTAGTTGCATGCAGAAGCGCAAAACCAAGGGCAACAAAACGAAAGTTGGGCTGGAAAAGTGACTGAGCCGACCGAAAAGCAGGCCTGCCGTAAGCTGCACTGGTCCAACTTTCCCAGGTGTCGCCAAGAAGTATGGGCCTGTTTGGAACCTGGGTTTTTTGAGAGTTTGTCTAAAACTTTACTGTAGTGCACTGTAGAAGTTTTTGAAAAAATTTTGTAAAAGTTTTTATAAGGTGAAAAATTTTTTGTAGAAGTTTTTATAAGATAAAAAATTTTGTTAAAGTTTTTGTAAGGTGAATTTTTTTTCCTTTTCTTTTTTTTCTTTCTTTCTTTTTTTTCTTTCTCTTTATTTTTCTTTTCTTTCCTCTCTTTTTTCTTCTTCTTCTTCCTTCCCCTTCCCGCCACCCCTCTGACCTCCCTTTCCCCTTCTCCTCTCCTCTGCATTTCCCCCCCGCCTCCTTCCCCCGCCAGCCCCTCTGCCCCTTCCCCCTCCCCTCTGCACGCTACCCCCTCCCCCCGCCAGCCCTTCCCCAGCTGCCGCGCCCCCTGCCCTTGCCCCTCACCTCTGCCCGCCCCCCGCCCCCCCCAGCCCCGTCATTAATATGTGATTTCCTAAACATGTGGATCATATGCATCAACATTCTTTTCCGTAGAACGAAGAGGGGAGCGCATGAACTTCATTTGTACTTAAGCAAGAAGCACGATGATTTGTTGGCGAATACCCTCGAACCTGGCAGCTACAAGAAGACTCTGTCATTGGTCATCGTTGACGGGTTCGCGGTAGAAATCACTGATGATCAAGCAAATGTGCTTAGATCTGCTAAAGATGTCAGGCTTGTGGAGAAAAATCAAGAGCTTGCTTGATGCTAAACATGTGGAAAACACTACTATTTCATGCTGCTCTTCGTAGGTAGCACAC